GGTACAGTCTACCAAAGAAGCTATTTGTTCACACTCACACACACACACACACACACACACACAAACCCTAACACACAAAGCTGCTTACATTTTGATGCCCCAAAGTATTAACAATCTGGCTTTTTGTTCAAACCACTGTTTGATATATAAACTAATTCTCATTTTTGTTTTTTCACATCTTCTGTTTTGGCCCCATTTGGGTAGAATGGTTTTCTTGTTAATGTGTAACTAACAACAGAGAGAAATCATGTTTGTCATATTTTTTTTGTAATGTGGTGATGTAATAAAGCAAGGAAACAGTTCAGATAAAAAAATTTAATACTCCCTCAAATCTCTTAGACCTTTGTCATGAATTCTGTATGTAGCTATCATTTTTCTGAACTGTCTTACAATCTTAACTGTTACTTTTAGCATCTCCTCTTAGCCTTTTCTTTGTGTTTTCTTGGTTTTGAACTGTTTTGGCAGGAATCACTTTTTGAAAGAAAAATTAAACAGAATTTTGTGGCCAATTTTTCCTCAGGTCACATTTGAGGGAAATAGCTGCAACTTGTTTAGTATGAATTTTATTTTTAATTTCACAAGCATTCCCTGACACCACAACAAACAGTATCATACAAGGAGTACAGGGTCACTGAAATGAAGAGTAATATACCCCATTCAACTGAGCAATGCCTTATCCCTCTCAAAAGGCCATAACAATAAAAGCGCTCTGACTTGCCATTCTCATAAGCAATCACATTTTAAACAAGTGTCCACAGCTATGTGCAATTTATACTGTTAATATGTGTCAAGGAAAGAAAGTGCCAGGTGTTCGGCCGTCATCAATGTCTAGATGGAGACACTGCACATGATTAGTGGTGACCCCAACAGGATCAGACATCCTAACTTGTAAAAATGCCTCCATCTGATTAAATGTTGTTGGATTGGCACTGGATATGGATGCACATTGGCAAAAATAGTCAATTATGAAGAAATAGCCTTCACCCAGGCAAACGTCATGAAAAGACTAAAATAATGGTGCTGTTGCTGTGAATCGTAAACATGTCAAGAAACCTGAATATCCAGTCACTAGACTATTTTTATTTCTGAAAAAAAATCACTGGATATGTCCATAGTGGTTCATATCAACAATGCCTGTGAGATTCATCCATCTCTAGCATTTGGGTGTCTGTAATAATATGTGGAAGCTGCATTACTCTCTGGATTACTAGTCTTGAGACATTAATATAACATTATTTATTTGTCAGCATTATATTTAGTTTTCATGGCTATCTGCAGGTTATGGTTAAAAAAGTCATGACAGAAGTAAACAAAATAGTGGCGTTTTAGCCGTTCCATTGCAGGCACCATCTTGATATTTTTGAGCTTGCCCTGGGGTCACACCTGTTAGATTACTTTCTAGTCCAGAAGCTTCTTCACTGAAAACCTTAAAAAAGTTATAGAATTGAATCTAACATCAGGGAAGGCTGTGTGGATTTATAAAACTACATCCCTCATGCATTTATTTCCAACCTCTTTTTGTGGACATCATACAAACATATGGTGAAGATTTCCATATGTTAGAACATTGTTCTAAATCTGGAGAATATTATTCATTTGCAGGGTTTTTTTTTCATTTCAACCACCTTTATGGCAGCTCTCATAAAATATTTCATACCACTAAATAACATAGTGACTAAAATTCTAGAGTAATTTGAATTTTGATTGTATTTCTTTAAAAAAAAATACAAAGTTTCCTCCTGAAGTTTAACAGACTTTGAGTGTGTACTTCTGGGTTGATCAGAATTTGATATGAGTGATTTTATACTGGTTTATACTAATTAGAATTTGTAAATTAGAGTACGTTTTGTTTGCAATTGTGAATGCGTACCCACTTCAGGTGCTTGGCAACTGACCCACATTTACACAATTTTACGATATTTTTGCTGAAAACTGACATATTTTACGATATTTTTGCTGGAAACTGGCATTTCCTCCCAGTTTTGGGGAAAATCAGCCCAAATGGACCATTGATTTCCTTAATGACTGTTGGTTCATTGTGCGTTCACTTAGGAAGCATAACATTTGCTTAACTACTACCAGCAAAACAGGTCATTAAAAATATCCAGTTATGTGATGACCTTTTTATGACTATCACCACTTATGACCATGAGGGACAAGCTTCATTATGATCGTAAACCAAAGACAGTGGTGGGATTCAGCCAGTTCGCACTGGTTCAGTAGAACCGGTAGCTAAATTTTGTTGAGTTTGGAGAACTGGCTGAACCCATGCTGCTTCTGGAAGTCCGTTCTAGGCCTCCCAGGCATTGATGTGCATTGATGTCACTTCCGGAAGTCCATTCTAGGCCTGGAGGAGGCCTCCCAGACCTAGAACAGCCCACAGGAAGTGCATCGATGTCACTTCCGGAAATCCGTCCTAGGCCTCGGAGGCCCAGGCCTGCATCCACACAGAGAACCGGATGTTAAGGTATTTGAATCCCACCACTGCCCAAAGTGAAAAAAAGGATGCAACAGAAACCTAAAATGTAGTAAACCTCCACTAACTTGACCTGGGGCCACTTTTAAGTGGAGATATAACTGGTGTCATTCCTAACATCCTGTTCTACAGTCAGAAGAAAGGTACCACTGGGTTGTGTTATAGAAACAATCAGCATTTCTCCAGTAATAAAGGAGCCAAGTTGTAGGCATAATCATGACAAGGATATTTTTAACTAAGTTTTGTATTTTGGAGTGTGGACTTCTGTATGAGTTGAGAAAAAAGAGTCTGCTCTGGTAGCACAAATGCCATATATGCATTAATTTATAATATAAAAGATAAGCAGAGGCCAAGTTATAAGCATAGCCATGTCAAGGGCAGTCCCAAATTTCAGTGATGCTATGGCATACTGAGAGTACAAAACTCCTGTGGGTTTCTCAAAGTGGGTTTCTCCTTCCTTAGCTCCAACAGAAGTCCACACCCAAAACACAAAACTGAAAAGAAATAAGAATAGAGAAAGTGCCCGGCATGTTAAACTCTGCCAGTCACCTCAGGGGGGGGGATCTCTACTAAAGGACAGTAATGAATAATGTTTAGCAAGTGAAATCAATGTCCCAGAGGTGTTGTCATTTCCTAATTGTCCTCCAGTGTGCCCTGAATGGTCAGGATGCTAGCAGCTCATCAGTAATTCTTCAGGGTAAAATGCATGGATGGCTGGATAATTCTCAGAATTGGATGGCTCAGTGACAGGACTGGAAGTCAGGACAGCTCCATTCATTTCAACACCTCCTCATACCTTACAGGGCTGCAGATATGAACCCTCCCTCTGGACAGAGATTTCTGCAAAGCAGCCCTGACTTCTGCAATCACAGGGGACATGCTTGAAAACCCCCAGTAGACATCGCAGCAATTCAGTTGACAGTTCCTCTATGGAGTTGCCTGTTCGCATCTACCTCTGCAGAAGCACTACCCATTTCTCTTGTGCGCCAGCCAGCCAGCCAACCAGCCCTGTGCTTTCTGAAGCTATTGACACTGAGGCCAACAGCTAGTGTAAATCAGCCCTAGGAAGCTAGATCTGTTTAGAAACACATACACGCATAAATAAAAAGGCAAAGTTCTCTGCTTTTTCTTTTTTATCAAAGCGAGTAAATTTATCCTCAAAGCAACAAGGATGGGCGTAAATTTGGACTTTCAATAATGTAGCAATTTGATGTTCTTCCTACTCCCCATTGCCTTTGTAACATAGCATGCAGCAATTATGTCTCCTGCCAGTGTTTGGCAGGAGACATCGCTATGCATTCACTGGCATCAGCAGGGAATCAGCAGGGGTATTTTAATGATTGCGGTGGTGCTTGGTGCAGACTGCAGGAAAGATGCACAGATCCTCCCATTTGCCTTCAAAAATACTTTTTTTGTTGCTGTATTCTACAAATTCAGTTAGAAAAAAATAACAACGGCCAAAAATGGATAGAAGTTGTCAATTTGTTGTCAACAGCTCAATCCAATCTACAGGTCACATGTTCTGTGTTTTAGGGGCAACTTGATAAGGCTAGCCACTACAGCCATTTTGCTTTGGGGATGTTTTGTTTCTCAACACCCCCGTCTTCTTCATTCTCCTCTCTGGTTTTCTTGATGCACAAGACATAGACAGTGGAAGTTGCCTAAGGACATCACAACGGAAGTTGAATTGAACCAGGCCCTCTGGATAGGTGCAGCACTGAAATGCCAAACAGCTTCGAAATTTATTTTCTGTCCAGGTTGCCACAGATGTCTGGCAGAAATGCACAGCTGCTGGCAAATTCAAATGCTAAAACATATTTAAAGATGGTGGCACAGTTGGATTGTGGTTGCACTCTTGGGGTATGTGATTGTTCTCTGGTTTTGGCACCCTCGGAAAAATGTCTCTTTGTGGAATGCCAATCACCTGGGACCCACTCTAAGAAATGCTCTCCTAAGAAGGATTCCATAGTTACTAATACACCAACTGAGGGTTCCAGTTATGTGCACCGGAACCCTCAGTAGGTTTCAATATACATAACTTGTTTGGGTGAGTGTGGGATATGTATTGATAATAATTTTCAGAGCTTGTGTTTCTAAAAAGGCATAGATCTTATCACAAGAGTCAAGGAGAATCACTCTTTCCAACCTGTCCTTTTCTTATCCATATTATACAGAAGGTGACTAGAGAGAGGTAGTCCTCCATTTCTAGTTATACTCAGATTTTGGATCAAGCCTGAGTCTTGAATAAGGAGAGACCAAGATAGACAAAAAGTATTCCTCTGCATACTT